GTCAAAATTAATTTCGAGGCCAATTTTTGGGCTCGAGTATAACATCTAAACTCTTATGTTTTTATTTGCTCACTATATTTTTTATGGTATCAAGACATCTTTTGTGGTGCCTTATTATTTTTATATCATCTTAGCAAAAACCATATTAAATGAAAACAAACACCATTTCAACAATCCATTTCCAAACATTCAAATATAAGCAAAGATTGATCCTAGTATGTATACGTTAAATTCATACTTTGATCATCATTCAGACTAATCCAAACATATGCTCGTTACAATAAAACTAAATGAAGCCAATTATCCATCATGGAGTAAATTTATGATTCATGCTCTCACAACTAAAAATAGACTTGGATTTACTGATAACACAATTCAGTACCTTCAGAAGATGAACAACCAACAAAATTTACTCTATAGAATGAGTGCAAGAGTTAATTTTATTACGGCTAACCCACTCTAGTAAATATGACATACTTAGTAGAGTAGTTCATAAAAAAGTTGTTTAGCAAGTCTCGGAGGATTTTAAATTTACTATTAAATGTAACCATATATTTTGTAAATTATTCTTTACTGATACAAGTTGAAGAAACAATTTACTCATACTCCTCAGTTTGTTTTTTTTACTTACCATGTTTTTCACAAGAGTTGTCTTTTTTTATTAATAATTCATGCAAGAATTAGACCTCTTTGTTTTTCTTTTTTTTTTTTTAAAAGGACCTTTTAAAATAATTTACGAAATAGAGTAGACGAAAAGTTTCACTACAAAAGTCGATGAAGTGATTATTTACAAATAAAGAAAGATGATATCATAACAATATATGATCAATTGTATACACTAATTCTCCTTATATACTATTACTGAAACAAACAATTACGTCTAGAGGTGTATTAAATTGATAAATAAATATCTTCTTGTGGTTTTGTATTTGCTAAAAATGTTTTAGGAAAATATACTTATTTTAGGTACTATATAACAGTGTACTACATGAATTTACCTTAAGAATTTTATAAACACAAAACCCTAATGCCTTTCAGAATGATGCTTTTGGTTTTAGGTAACTTCATTTTCGTTAATATATGTTGGTGACCAACTTTCATTTGTCTGCAACTCAAACCTAGGACTTAACTTTGTTTTTCCTCAATTAACAGTTCGAAGGATTATGAGGGGGCACAGATTCTTCCTTTTTTTTTTATTATAATGTACAAAAGCCAAGTTTAATTATTGGAAATACCATAATATTGAATTCAAAATAAAAAAAAAATATTTATTCAAACTAGATAATTTATTTGAGTTTGAGCTGAGATATATATTTCTATATGTCTCTATTAGAAGGAAGGTTGTGTCATTATTGATATATATATATATATATATATATATATTATCTAATTAACAAAATTTATAAACTTTTACTCAAAAAATAATATAATTAAAATACCATATTAGAAGGTTGTCTCATTCTCCATGTTAATTTACTAATTACCTTCTCTTAGTAATATTTTTTATTGTACTAAAAATAATAGGATTTTTTTTTAATCATACATTAATTAAAATTTAAAATTTGGGTTAAAATTACAAACATTCCTCAATTATGGAACTAAATGGGTGTGTTATTCTTTGAAAATTATATATGTGAGGCTTTAGAAAGCTAATTATTATTATCCAAAACCTTAGTCTAATCTAACTTTTCTTCATCCGAAACTTCCACTAAGCCAAATAATGGATTCTCATTAGAAAAGAACAAAAAAAGTATCCAATAACAGTGTCATAGATATAACAAGCTCCTCATTCCTATTCTTATAATATAAGATTCCTCTTTGGAATATTAAACTTATCTAATTATATATATATATATATATGTTCCCCACCAAATTAGTTAATTAAAAGAAAAATATTGCTAACAACATATAACTCAAATTACATATATATTTTTATAGACCAATTAACAAATTAAGTTCGAGTTTTATCATTTCTTATTAAAAAAATTTAGAAAAATGTTAAAACTTTAAAGTATTTTTTTACGATAGTTTTCATAAAATCTAATGTAATAATTCAAATGTGTAAAAAAATTAAATAATTTAACTATGCAACCGCATAAATATTGTGTTACAATTTTCTTTTGGTTATTGTATGCATGAGCGGGACTAGAGGGGTGCCGAAGAACCACAATCCCCCGCAATTTCACACGAATAATGCTTATATAATATATCTAGTTATATTTTAGCTCTCTTTCCAATTAAAAATTAAAAGGGCGTAGCCACCTCCCAAATTTAGAAAATTAAAACACTTCAAAATTAAAAATAATTATAATAAATTCAAGAAGTATTAGAAACATAATTAACTAATATCACGATTTAAATTTATATTCTTGTGAGTATTTTTAATAATTGTAAGTATTTATAAATACTATATGGAGATATATAAATTTAAAGTAAATAAATTTTAGAAAAATTTAGATAATAGGAAGTTATAATACATAATAACAGAAATATAAGAGTGAACAATAACTAAAATTATATTATAACTTAAGTTATATGTTTGTGACATTCTTCATGTTATATAAAATAATTAAAGTTATATAATTAATTTTGTAAATATTAAAATAGATTAAAGAAAATCTAATCTATTTATTTAATCATATTATATCGTATGTTTGATTTAAACGGTTAATCCCTTTAATATATACGAGTTATATTTTTATTAATTTTCAAAGCTTGAAGTTAACTAAGAGATTAACAAAATCAAGAGATTTAGCTTAGAAAATGAAATAATGCTCTTCCTACAAAATTAATTAATGACTTCGAATTTAAGTATTATTTCCTCCCTTATTATTATTATTATTTTTTTTTAAAAAAAAGGAAAAGAATGAAACTAGCCGATGCTTCAGCGAAAAAGACAAAGCAAAATATGGTTTAGTTGTCATTTAGCATTTAATTAAACTCTAGAAAGCTGGATAAAAGGGACATAATCATTCTGGATAATTTACAGGGTCTTTTTGCAAATTAGGTAGAAAAGAAGCCTCTTTTGGCAAAACTTGATGACTATATAAACTGTCTATAACTACCTCTCTCTCACTCCCCTGTTTCCCAAACTCTCTCATTGGCTACGCTTCTCCCTTGCTCTTTCCTTCTGCAAAACAAGATTATGAAGATGACAACAAACAAGAATTCAGCTCTTCTTCCTCTCTTCCTTTTCATGGTAATTATGTTTGTGACATTCTCGATAATTTCGGTCGAGGCCAGAAAGCATCACACCAATAAAAGCAGAGCTCATAAGCATAAAAAAGACAGGGGTGGCAACAATAATGCTCATGTTTTGCCCCCTGCACCAGCTCCTCTTCCTCATCCAACTCACTCTCTCATTTTCAATATTTTATCTTTTGAAGCAAAGGGTGATGGAGTTTCCGATGATTCCCTGGTAAAACATGTGAAATTAAAAGAAACTGGTTTTATGTTGTTTGCTTTTGTGTGTGTAGAAAAGAGAAAAATTAGAATTAATTGTCGAGAATATTGATTTTAACAGGCTCTTTTAGCAGCATGGAGAGCTGCCTGCAAAGTTACAGGGGCTTCAGTTGTAATTCCTTCAAAGTTCAAGTTCCTTATCAAGCCTATAACTCTTCAAGGTCCTTGTATGCCTCACCTTGTTCTTCAGGTTAGCTTTCTCTTCTTCTTCTTCTTCTTCTTCTTCTTTTTCTTTTCCTTTTCTTTTCTTTGTTTAATAATTTTCACATAATATTACTTTTCTGTTTTTAAAAGTTAATCTGAGTGGATTTTCAACAGATCGATGGAACTGTATTAGCTTCTTCAAAAGTGAGTTCATGGCCAAAATCCAGCTTGTTTCAGTGGATAAACTTCAAATGGATTCATAACTTCACCATTCAGGGTGCTGGAATTGTTGATGGCCAAGGTTCTGATTGGTGGACTCTCTCTCACGCCTATGATCTTCAGGTAATTAACTACTATCACCTAATTAACATCTTTAAATCTCAGCTGAAAGTTTTAAAGCAGCAGCTTAATCTTCATTAGAATGCAAAAATCTTTTGCAGAAAAGATCCAAACATATATCAAACATGAAACCAACTGTAAGACATCATCTGCTTTCACTTCTCATAATTCTTGCTTGCTTTTTCAATATATTTGCATATAACCAATTTGTTTGTATCCACAGGCTTTAAGATTTTACGATAGTCACAATGTTACAGTTCGCGAGATCACAATCATAAACAGTCCTCAGTGTCATCTAAAATTTGACAGCTCTAACGCGATTCGAGTTAACAACATAACAATTTCTTCTCCAGAAAGTAGCCCCAACACTGATGGAATTCACCTGCAAAACACAAGAGATGTAGAAATTCAGAATAGCAATATTGGCTGTGGTAAAAATGATAGTCCATTCACTTGATATTTTTACATAAAATTTGAAAATAAGAAAATAATAATGTAAGAAAGAAAGATAGAGCAGGTATGGTGAATTTTATATTAGGCAGGGCCCAGATAGTGCATGGCATGTTAGGGTTGCAGGGTAAAAAGTTATCTGATGTGAGGAAATATGATTGGTTTAGAGACCCTTTAAAAATTTAAGGCTATTAACTGTCACTAAACTAACTTTTGCAAGAAGCATGAACAAAAAGTATCAATACAACTAACTTTTTCTGTATATGGGTATTAACTAATCAAGTCCTAATATTCATATTTATCTTTCTTTTTGACAGGAGATGACTGTGTATCCATACAAACTGGTTGCTCTAATGTTCATATTCATCATATCAATTGTGGCCCTGGTCATGGCATAAGGTAATAAAAACAAAACATTGTTTTATCCCACAATTCTAACCTTTTCCCAATTCCAATTTTGCATCTCTTACCTCCGGTTTCCGGTTTAGTTATGTTAGTGATGTGATTAGAGTTTTGTACTGTAAGATCGGAAATTAAAATTTACCAATGTTTGTTTTACAGTTTAGGAGGATTGGGGAAAGACAAAAGTGTTGCTTGTGTATCTGATATCATTGTTGAGAAGATCTCAATGAAGAATACTATGGCTGGAGTTAGAATAAAGACATGGCAGGTAGAATTCAGTGGTTAAATTTAGAAATTCTTTGTTTAAAATTTCGAGTTCAAGTATGAAATTAATTTGGTGGGGGAATTAAACAGGGTGGAATTGGATCTGTGAAGAATGTAACATTCTCTAATATCAATGTGGATGATGTTAAGGTGCCAATAGTGATTGACCAATACTACTGTGACAAGCATTTTTGCAAGAATCAAACAGGAGCAGTGGGAATATCTGGAGTGAGATATGATAAGATAATTGGAAGTTATTCGGTGCAGCCAGTGCATATAGCCTGCAGCAATGATGTTCCGTGCACCGACGTTGATTTGATTGACATTCAGCTGAAACCCTCCTGTGATTATGGACGATCAGTCAAACAGGCTCTGTGCTGGAACTCTTATGGAAGATCAGAGGCTCCTCTCTTCCCTTCAAGTATTGATTATTGCTTGAGAAGGGATAGAGGTGGATCAGTCAACAGAATAGCTAAATCCCATGAGAATGTTTGTCACTGAACTGGGTTTCATTAGGTCTTGATGTACTAACCTTTTACTTTCCTTTTCTTGGGTGTTTTAGTGCGCTTCCCTTGTGCAAATTTTTAACTGTGTCAAGGTGATGATGGTTGAGAAATCTTTTGCAAAGTAACGGGATTGATCTACTTTGATCTTCTTTTTCTAAGTAAAAAATTGTAAGGAAAATCTAAAATAATAATTAATAGAAGTTATTAATATAAATTATTTCATGATTGATATATATATATATATTTTATAAAAATGTATTGAATTTGAGTTGAAATGTATATTTTGTGTCTCTTTATTAATAAATTATATTATTATTGATGTGTTTGTATTCCTTAATAAATGAAATTTATGAATTTATAATTAAAAAATTTTGTTTTTTTTTAAAAAAAATAAAATAAAATAAAAGTTTAGTGTGTTAACTTATAAATAAATGAAAATTTGTAAATTAAGTTTAACATTTAATTTCAATGGGTTTTAGTAACTAAATTTTCGTCATGAATTTTCTAGTGGTGATACCAAATCTGAGAGATATTTACTTTAATTTCAATTCATACAGATTGCTAAACAAAACAAAACAAATAAAAAAAGGGGGGGATATTATAATCTCAGCAAAACCAGAATCAAACCCTTAGACTTTATAAATTAATTACCATATTCATCTTCTTCGGCATGGATAAAAAAAAGGGTATCTTATTTGAAAGATGCACATTTACCAATAATCCAACTCAAAAATTTAACCATTTTCCTTCTCTTTATTCTATCAAATAAGAAAAGTGGCAGGAAACCCACGTCGGAGATCCACACAGTCCCTCCTCCTACGTTGTTATATATATATATATATATATATATATAATTACATGTACCTACCTGTATGCATATATGTTAAGCTTTCAAAATCTATGCTACAATATATATATATATATATATTTATATAGATAACAGTATAATTAAGTAGTATATCATTTTATAATTGTATGATTAGTGAATATTCTTCTTAGTCATTCTAGTTGTTAGTCTGTCATAAATAAATCAATTTTATATGTATGTATATATATATATGCAGAAGAGAGTGAGTATTTAGTTGGGTTTTTGCTTTTATTTTAAAGAAGAAAAGGAGACCAAAAGGTAGGTTAGTGGGGAGACCAAAAGTAGGGTTGTGGAGGAGAATATAGGGCTCCATTCCATGACTGAAAAGGAAGCAGAGAAAGTTTAATATTTACTTATTAAATGGCACACGCATGAGAATTCAGATTATATATATATATATATATAAACACATACATACGGTCTATGCTTGTATTGCTCTTGGAAGCAATGGGGCTAAAACATACACCTGCGGAGTACTGCAGAGTTGTTGCTGGAGATAAAAGATTTCTGATCAACATAACCTTGTCCATAGAAATTGACAATTTTTTTTATTTAAAAAAAATATTTAGTACGATGAGATGAGAGTATGGAATAATTTGGATGCGGCTTATCGATGTTTTCATTAGATTTCATATATATATATATATATATATATATAGATATACTAACTAGAGCTGAAAGAGCAGTATTTTTGAGTTATACATATATATATATATATATACCCAATACCATGCATTTGTTTTTTTGGTAAAATAATATTCTAAAAAAGTATAAAATATATATAGCTAGCCATCATTTTCCTTGAGTACTTTACCAGAAAACTATATACAATATATATTTCCAAAGATAGTCGAGAAAAGGTGGGATGTTGTTTGTCTAGAATAGTGATCATGGCCAATATTTTCCTTCAGCTGTACCACAAGTGTATACATATATATATATATATGTATGTGAATATGATGGATGTATATATGTGGGCGTGGACATAAATTTTCTTACTTTGAATTTTTATATTGGAAGGAGAGGTTGACGTTAGCTGCTGGTAATATAATTAGCCTTTTGGTTGGTTCGTAATGGTGTAGGTTTTGGATGCGCGCACCGCCCAACGTAGGCTGCCTGCTGGTCGATGGAGAATCTCAGTTAAGCTATTGCACGCGCATGGCCTACCATAAACATTTCATTTTTATAATTATTTTCAGCCACTGAATTGAAATTGAAGAGTAAAGCAAACAACTTCAAAAGAAATGAAAATAAAAATAAATAAACAAAAATAAATTAGATTTCCCTTCTACTTTAAGTGTGGGCATGTAGAAAATGTATAGCACCTGGGGTGTGCTTATAAGCCAAGCCATATAGCTAGCCTTAAAACCCTTAACTAATCTCTGCGTATATAAATTTAAACTCAATTCTCTTCAATAGATTATATACAAATCAATCTTGGTGTAAAGATATGTATAAAAAGATGGGTAAGCTCTTGATGGTAATTTACATTTTGGGTTTGTTGATGATAGCAGCAACTTATGGAGTTGCAGGGAACTTGTTGCATGACGACATTGAAATGCTGTGGGAGCTTGAAAATCTGGAGATAGTAGAAGATGAAGAGGTGGAATTGTTTGACATCCCAGCTTGGATCAGTGGACGTGGTAATAAGGTTCTTGTAAATGTTGATAGTTTTGGCGCAGTAGGAGACGGAGTTTCTGATGACACCCAGGTGCACATCATTTTAATATTTTATTCTCAACATTAATATTTTCCCGTTAAATAATTTTCAAAAAAAAAAAAATACTATTAGTAGAATTAGCCTATATATACGACTTATAAAAAAGTTATTTATTATTTACTAAACATGTAACAAGACATTGTTTGGCAGCACTTTTGTTTCTTATCAAAATAAATTATAACTAAAATTGTCTTGGACTCGAAACAGTTGTATCAATCTGATTAAACGTACGAGACTAACAAAGATGATCTTTCTTGTGTAAATTTGTTACTACAGGCCTTTGAAAAAGCATGGAAAACAGCATGTAGCATATCGAAATCAGTGTTCTTAGTTCCTCCAGGACGTCGTTACTTAGTTAACGCAACACGTTTTAAGGGTCCATGCGAAGACAGGCTAGTCGTTCAAGTAAATCCCAATATCCATCTGAATTCATAATTAACATAAATTCAGTACATTTGATTTATAATACTAGTCTTGATCATTATCAGATTGATGGAACAATCGTAGCACCAGATGAACCTGAAAACTGGGATCCAAAGTTCTCAAGGAACTGGCTTGATTTTTCTAATCTGCAACGGGTCATCTTCCAAGGAAATGGAGTTATTGATGGTTCTGGGAGTAAATGGTGGGCAGATTCTTGCAAAACAAACAAATCTAATGTAATTCTTTTATCGATCAAATTATTTATTCTTCATTTCACCAAATAGAAGGTAACTTACTATACTTGTTCTCACTGTTTTACAGCCTTGCAGAGGAGCACCCACGGTAAGATTCAACTTACCCCTTAATTTCATTCATACATACATACATACATATATATAGAAACACCATATTAGGAAGTGAGAAGAAGATTTAATACATATGCAAGAGTATTTTAATATGCAGGCGTTAACAATAGACTCAAGCTCAGCTATAAAAGTAAAAGGGCTGACCATCCAAAACAGCCAGCAAATGCATTTTGTGATTTCTCGGTCCGCAGCTGTGCGAGTGTCCGGAGTAAAAGTCTCAGCTCCAGGCAACAGTCCCAATACGGATGGAATTCATATCACTGCTTCCACTGGAATAACTCTTCAGGACTGCAAAATTGGAACAGGTCCTCAATGTTTTCCCTTTTGTTTTCTAAATTTCTAATCTCATTTTGTGAATTAACAAAAAACATATATTGATATTTATCTTGATTTATTAGGGGACGATTGCATTTCGATTGTAAATGGTAGCTCTGCTATTAAGATGAAGAGAATTTATTGCGGGCCAGGACATGGTGTTAGGTACAATCTTCATTTCCACTCCATTGTCTTAATTCCATTATTATATATATCTCGTTAACATGAATTCATTTCTGTGGCAAATTTCTATATACAGCATTGGTAGTCTTGGGAAGGATAACTCCACCGGCATAGTCACAAAAGTGGTTTTGGACACAGCATTTCTCCGAGAGACTACTAATGGTCTCAGGATCAAGACTTGGCAGGTAATATATATACACATAATATTAATGTTAAATCAACATAGCATACATATATACACGCTGATGGGTATCTGATGTAGGGTGGTTCTGGTTATGTTCGTGGAGTAAGATTTGAAAATGTGAGGATGGATGATGTTGCCAATCCAATCATCATTGATCAGTTCTATTGTGATTCACCAAAATCTTGTGAAAATCGGGTAAGTAATTGTATTCCATCATACCCTTATGGCAAGCTTTTAATCTAATCAAAACTCTGACATTTTGAATCTTATAATTGTGATTTTTTACAGACATCAGCAGTGGAAATAAGCCAGATAATGTATCGGAATATTAGTGGGACTACGAGTAGTTCAAAAGCAATGAAATTTGCGTGCAGTGACACTGTTCCTTGCAGTAATATAGTCCTTACAAATATCAACTTAGAGAGGAAAGATGGTACAGTTGAGACCTACTGTAATTCTGCTCAAGGTTTTGGATATGGCGTCGTCCGTCCTACAGCAGACTGCTTAAATTCTCATGATAACAAAGACAAAACATATTATTCTGTAACTCAACAATTTGAAAATGATTATCAGCTCATAAAACCAGTGGAAGAGGACACTCTTTTATCCAGCAGCAAAGATGAAATTATTCACACTGAGCTCTGACCTGGCTTCTTACATATACATAAATAAGTCTGATATAGTTTACTGTACTGGCTAAACTGGATTGTAGAGTTACTAGTTGAGAGGGATGGAGTGAGGTTACCATGTCAAATTTTATGGGGAGACTAGGAATGTTATATAGATATAGATATAGATACATACAAATTACACAAAGTTCATTAATTGAACACAAGCATATGATTGATATTGAGAAAAAAGTTGCTATAACTTTAATGAGATTGCATGTTATTAATGATTTTCCATGTTTATTATTTGTTCTGACTGAATATGAAAGTTTCCTGCATTGTAAATTTTTCTTTCCTCTTTTGAAGCTGTGTATAGAATATCGAAAACTAATTTTTATAAATTCAGTCCAATAATGCAGCCTTGGAAAAATAGAATTTGTTAATAGATTTTGATTTTGGATTGTTCTGAATTTTAAAACTTTCCAGTATTTACTATTTGAATTTTACTAAAACAATATTTCTTTATTTAAATTTTTTTGGAAATATATTGTTTAAGGTTACATTTGAACTTTCCAAACTACACAAAATCTTCCAAAGCTGTTTGGGAGAGTCAATAATACCATGAAGATAAAATGCCTCTGAATATACAAAGATGAATAATTTTGGAAGTAAAACCTCGGACCCAACAGAAAGAGAAGAAAAAAAAAAGAACCCTTAAATCTCAATGAAACGTGATGTTCAAACATTATACCAGACAACCGCCTAGATGATGAAGCATCTGTCTTCCAATATCACAGAACTATCTCAGCAGGACTTGACACTCCTATCTAATTTAAGATGCAACTAAAACAAAAACTACGTTGCTCAGATGATAAATTTATTACATCATCACATTATCTAATAAATTTTTGAGATAAACTCTTTAAAGTGATTTAAGAATTCCAACCACTCAGCTTCTCTCACTGCAACAATCAAAGAACCAAAACTGCCATGACAGTAGCTAGAAATATATGTCGAGGTTGAAACCTACTATTTATTTACCCCGGATTTTAACTTTAAGAGTCCAGTTAAGCCTTCCTTCTGGCAAAGGAAGGGATTTGGGCAATCTAAGGGGTACCTCAAACTCCCCAAAAGTTGTCAAAGGTGATGGTAGATGAACGTTTTCAGGCTGTATCTGCACACAAAGCTGTCTCGCTACCTGAAAGAACAAAATGACTATCAATAGATCTATTTATCAAAAGGGAAACTCATTAAAATAAGTGAACTTCAAATGAATTTTATATCTTTTGATGAAACAACAGCAGGACTGCTACAATCTTTATTACCAGCTAGCTTTGTAAATTCCAGGGCAGCATAAGATCAAAAGCCCATAAAAAAAATTGTAGTGAGAACCCCAGTAGAAGAGGCTAGCAAAATATTGATGAAGCAAAAACCAATTTATCATTTACTTTGGCTTGTGATACCTTTAAACTCATTTTAACAAAAAAAAATCAAATTTATCATCACTATGGCCTATGATTAGATACAATTCGTGTCAGCTTGGATACCACAAGATTACCTTAGACTGCATCTCAACAGCCAAAAAGTTTAAGCTGAGTTAGTTAACTATTCCTATGTACCATATCTGAGACTATATAGGTCAAGTGTCCAAAAATGTTTTCACCATTTGAAATTATGATCAGAACTAACTAACAATAGCTCCACCATCCTGTTTAGAAGTTAAGAATTGTATGATAAAAACTACACTTTCACTAAAGTTAGATGTAGAAGTAGAAAAAAATATGAGTGGCAGAGAAGTAAAAATCTTCAACTTAAGAAGTAAGAATAATTTGTACTGGCAATCTCCATTAAGAACACCACCTAGTACCAAGTTTTCATTCTCTAATCACCACGATCACTTCATTTATCAAGTAAAATATACTTGGAAACCCCTTTTGCCAATCCACACAGATGTTTGTAGTTTCCATCTTCACGAACAAATAAAGAGGAATTTATTAACTTCATAAAAAAAAAAGAGGAATTATTAAATATAGACATCTACGGGAAACAACTAATGCCTCACATGGGATTATGTAAATGTGATGACACATGAATAAATGGAAAGGTGAGGAACAGAAGTTGCAACTGCAATATGGCCTGTGAGATGGCAGTATTCTTCATTCTACTGTACTAATTCGTGGGCCATTAAGACAATTGTAGACCAAATGTATCACAAGTTTGAAGATCTTACAATGTATTAACTTGTTGATCTAGTAGAAAACACTATTAACAAAATATACAAAGTCAACTATTAAATATTACAGAGATTGCTAGCAGAACACCATGTATTAAAAATTTCACAGCAAACAGCTGTTGGAAACAAAAAGCAAAACAATACCTCAGAAATAAGCTCATCTGCAGTCACAGGCGAATGCAGTTCAATGGGATCATCTTTCATGGAGCGAGCACGAAATTTTTCAACATTGATGAACCTTCTCAATACCTACAAAGAGAAATACATTCAGTTATGTCCAAATAGGAGAAAGACACATCAAATTCTTGTTTCATAGCTTCTTGGAACTTTCTGAACAACAACTCTTGGTATTACTCTTGAACAATAACTAGTTGGATAAACTTAGTTGCTGTTTCAAAATCTTACAAGTTTCATTTCCATCTTTTTTGGAATGACTATTGAATTTCAATGGGAAGCTGAGCATGGAAAAAGATGAAAAATAATCGCAAAGATAAGTCAAAGATTCTTAAATATAGGTCACAAACCAGCTGAGCATTAGCTAAACGTTTTGCCGCCTTTTCATATTCTTTTGTCTTATCTTCCTCAACCTTCGTAACTACTTTGACCTCCTCCTCTTCCTCGGGTTGGTAAATCTGATCAAAATGCATTCACCCACAACATTAATAAGATCTCAGTGAACTTCTTCCGTAAGAGGGAGAGAAGGAAAGAACAAGGGTTAATGAAAATAATAATCTAGCCAGCTAATTATACATTCATGTTCCATTATTGAAACAAATAAATTGATTCTTTTCACTTTTTAAGACTATGTTTGGAATAAAAGAATTATTTTGTGGAATTCATCGCAAAATTATAGCTGTAATCTCATTCTATCTAGCATACTTTTAAATGATTTTGTGAAAATAAAAAACAAACAAACGAATAATTTTTTTTAAACAATCATAATTCACTTCCAAAATGAATCAATTTTGTAAAATTCGAAAAATCTATTATTTCAGTTCCACTTACCATTAATTTGAAATATATAGTTTCAGTATCACTTACCATTCATTTGGGGTTGATTTTTCATGTTTTCATGGTTCACTAAGCATAAAAAATCCAAATAAATTCTTAACAAAATAATTCTTTTTCCAAACAAACACTAAAACTTGGATCTACAAACCATCTATGGTCCATCATAAAAAAGAAACACTAACAGTCCCAGACCCAAAAAAAAAACGATTAACACTTAAGCAAAAGATATCACCAACAGAACGATCAAAGGTATACAAAAAACGAGTTTAAAGAGTTTTGGTTGAAAACAATCAGAAAGGAGGCCAGAAAAGTGATTCAGAACCTTGCGTTGCTCTCTGATGAGATAAGCAAACTTGTCAATATTTGGGACCGCGAGCAATTTGGGCATCAGATGGTTCCGGAAATACCCAGGAGCAACCTTCACTGTCTCACCAGCCTTGCCAAGCTTTTGTATATTCTGTGCACACACAAGAAATTGAAATGGAGCAGGGAAAAAGAATACTGCAGATGACAAAATAACCAAAACAAAAAGAACAAAGGAGAAATGAACTTACCGTTGTAAGAATCACCTCTAACTTCCTGTATCGAACTCCATGACAAGCATACAGTAGCCGGTGATGCATCACGTGGTCGGAGCTGTGTAAACTATTTTGTTTAATTATATGGCAAAGGGCATTCCTCGCGTGTTGCATGTAAGCCATATCTCACCTTCTTTAAGACACTCTGTATATCTCTCTTTTTTTTTCTAATTGACTCAAAACTGAAAATTTCAAAATTTTAACCCCAACAGATTGATGCCTGTTAACACCAAACTTTTCTGTCACATATACAATTTGCATGCATGGAAGATAAATACAATTAGAGCCGCCACTATTAAGATAAGATTAGAACCCCATAAAATGACTACCTCTGGAAAAAAAAAAAACAAGAGAAGAAAAGGAAAATAAAGGAAATTAAAATAATGGGAACTAATGGGACACTTACAATAACATTGTCACCATCAGCCTAAAGAAGTTGGTCTGAGAAGAATAAATTGAAACATATAACAAACAATGTAAACCCGAAAATAAATCAAATAAATAAATATATGACTAGATATATTGACTTATCTTTATTTATATATATATATATATATATATAGTGACTCATTTTCATGCATCCTTCATCCATAAATATTATTTGAAAGAGTCAAATCCGATGCTAAATTCTCAAAATTCATATGAAATGCAATGAAATAAACAAAACCTGATGAAATAGATCAAAACATAAGAAATCTTCCAAATCAAGATTAATAAAATATTCTCGCAAATATACCAATCCAGATAATTTATTCAAACTAAAAGATTATGTAAATAAGCACATAGAAGGTAACCAAGACAAACAAGACAAAAATTTTTATTTCAAAAACCCAAGCACTCATGAAAAACTGTCTTTCAATCAAACATATTCTAGAATCCCATAAGGATGCAATAAATCCAACTGTCTACCTAAACCTAGAACACCATCTGCATAGTGAGAAGAATCATTCCAAGTATGTCAAAGCCAAAGTACATAAGAAAATATGTACCATCAGTTATTCAATGACAAGGAAAACCGATAGGAAAATGTTAGATTGCAATTTTCAATCACCAAGAAATGGGCAACAGTTAAGATATCAGATGACCACAAATCTGTCATCTCTAACAATTTCACGATCATATGCACAAGGTTGTATTTCTGGGACAGCACCAATTCGTTTCACCAGGTACATTTTACATGTGAAAGAAAAAATGCCTAAAGATCTCAGGCCATGTCCAATTTGAAACTTAAGCTAACATCAAAACGAACTCATAAAGAGAAAAACACAAAAACTATGACACGTGTCCCGAAACTACAGCAGTAAATTTCCGATAAGAAGTAGTAATTCGGTATAATAGGCATTTCATGAGCATTTTTTCATACAGTTAATAGGCAACCACGCTCCTGGGTTTTGTCCAGAGTGCAGTCTCCACACAATCCACAAATACAACCATCATATTGTTTGCATTACTATGATACGGATACTTAATACTAGTAAGAAAATTGGATAAGGAAAATAGAGAATGTGTAGCAAAATGAAAGAGGCAAAGAAGAGGAGAATTTACTCATTAGTTGCAGTATCCCAAATCGAGCAAGAATAAAATGGAGGGGGCAGCTTGTTGCGCGTGACCAGTAAACAACTTGTGCTGCTTGCAGTCACCAATGAGCGACTGAGAGATGGCGATTGAATGCGGAAATGGAAACGAAGGCCGAGACACAAACTTGCGTTGTTCAAGAGACGGTTTCTGCTTGATGATTATTTTGAGAGTTCGGGTTCAGCTTAACCGATTTTGAACAATAGATTACCCAGGGTGACGAGAGGAAGAGGAGGACCTTCGGCTTTGTTTAATAAGGAGCAAAGTGAAACAGATACAGAAGAAGCAGAC